CACCCGCCTCGGCCACTCAAAGTGCTGAGATTACAGGCGTGAGCCACTGCACCCAGCCCAATTTTGTATTTTTAGTCGAGACGGGGTTTCACCATGTTGGCCAGGCTGGTCTCGAACTCCTGACCTCAGGTGATCCACCCACCTTGGCTTCCCAAAGTGCTGGGATTACAGGCATGAGCCACCACACCTGGCCTGTCTTACCTTTTCTAAGATCATGTTCCTTCTCACTCTCTAAGCACTTGAGGTCTTCACACTTCATTGATATCTTGGCCCAAGTGGTCTCTCTGTGGCTGTGGGAGCTGAGATGGAGGCAGAGAAAGTACTGCAAGGGGGAGCCTGAAATAAGGGCTGAAAGTGGGTGTGGAGCTGGTTTTGAGGTAGGAAAGGAGGATCTGATAGAGGCTGAGCCAGGCGTGAGGACTAGGAGTGTGGATGGGGCTGGGTTTGCAGGTGAGGTTGAAACAGGGATCACAATTGGGGTTGTATCTGGGGTAAGGATGGCATTGATGTACTTGGGGCTAAAAATCAGACTGGGTCTCAGGCTAAGATTGCAGACAAGTTTCCTCTGGGGTTGGGTCTGAGTTTGGGGTAAGATTGGAAACACGTGGGGCACAGCGTGGGGGTGTAGTACAGCTAGGCTGGAGCTGCAGTGGGGACAGAGATTGAATTTAGGGATGAATTTAGAGCCAACGTTGGGACTGAAATTGGGGCTGGAACTGGGATTGATTTGGTTCGGGGCTGTCCAACCCAATCTGGAAGTCAGTGGAGAGATCGTTTCAATCTCCTCCAATGACTAGTTCAATCTGTGATCCATCTTCCCAGTTACTTCCACCTATAACACAAAGTCGTCCTCTCCGTATTTTCCCTAATGCCCTCCCTGCCTCCCCAGTCCAGTTACCTGTATAAAACTAGAGAACGGAACTGTTGACTTTTCTTATCTAGCACAGCTGCCAGGTCAGGAAATTCTGGAGGGAACTGCCTTGTATTGGTTCTCCTGCTGCCCTCTGCATTCTGTGGTGCTGGTAGAACTGGGATCTAACGCTCCTGTGGGGTGGCTTCTCTTCCATGATCCAAAATCTTTCAGACCCAGGGGAAAGAGGGACACAGCTGCTTGGGTGGGTGATCTGTGCCTTCAGGCCTCAGAGTGGTGATGCCTCTGCTGTTCTTAGCCACAGGGACTTCAACTTTTGTTGGTTTCCTGAACCCTGCTCACACTCTGTAAATGTCATTAAACTCTTTTCAATAAACCCTTTTGTGGCCAAGCACTGCAGCTTATACCTGTAATCCCAGCAGTTTGGGAGGCCTAGGCAGGACAATCGCTTGAGCCCAGGAGTTCAAAACCACCCTGGGCAACATAGTGAGACTCTATCTCTACAAAAAAATAAACTTAGCCAGGCATGGGGACACACACTTATAGTCCCAGCTACTCGGGAGGCTGAGCAGAGAGGATTGCTTGAACCCAGGAGTTTAAGGCTGCAGCGAGCTATGATCACACCACTGCATTCTAGCCGGGGTGACAGAACAAGAACCTATCTCTCTATACGTATGTAGAGAGAGAGAGAAAGAGAAAGAAATCCTTTGGTTTTGACACCTGTATCTTGCTGGAACTGATTTTAAAAAACATTTGAATAAAATTATAAATGTCTACTATGGTACACAGAAAAATAAAAAAGAATAAACTCCATTTGGAAGTCTAACAGCCTCCTCAAACTCAACATGTTCAAAACAAAGCTTCTTATCTCCTCATCCCACCCACAAAACCAGCTTCTCACAGTCTTCCCCATCTTAATTAACTGGGACTCCATCCTTCTAGGTTTTCAAGCCCCAAACCTGGAATTATCCTTGACTTTCTCATTCTCCCAAACCCCTCAGACAACCCATCAGAAAATCCTGACATAACTGAGACATTCCCATAGGTCAGGGAGATTTCTGGGTACAGTAATACAGCAATGAATGGGTCCTGCCCTCGCTTAATGAACTTAAAAAGTTGGTTCTTAACAGCTGAGATACAGCCAGGTGCAGTGGCTCACGCCTGTAATCCCAGCACTTTGGGAGGCCGAGACGGGCCTATCACCTGAGATCGGGAGTTTGAGACCAGCTTCATCAACATGGAGAAACCCCGTCTCTACTAAAAGCACAAAAGTAGCCAGGCATGGTGGCAGGCTCCTGTAACCCCGGCTACTCGGGAGGCTGAGGCAGGAGAATCGCTTGAACCCAGGAGGTGGAGGTTGCGGTGAGCTGAGATCACACCATTGCACTCCAGCCTGGGCAACAAGAGGGAAATTCTGTCTCCAAAAAAAAAAAAAAAAAGAAAAGAATTAAAATAGCTGAGATGCTTCCCCTGGTATATGCCGGATTGATAGAAAAAATAGAAATCTCCACCCCTCTCTATATCCATTCTCTATACAATATGAATGACTTTGTAGATCCTCCCCACCCCCCACTAAAAGGTGGGACCTATTTCTCTGATACTTGAACCTGAGCAGCCTTGGAATCTGCTTTGGCCAATGGGATGCAGAAGAAGTGATGGCTCAGTTCCAAACAAGGCTCTGAAGTCCTTGCACTCTTCCAATTTCTCTCTTGGACCCCTACCCAGCCATTCTGTGAACAAGGCCAGGCTAGGCTAATGTGGTCCAGTCATCCCCATTGTCCCAGCCCAGAGCCAGCCAAATATGAGACATGGGAGCAAGGCTACCCTAGACCAGCCAACCCCAAGCCAACCCACCAGCTGACCACAGACGCATGAACAAGCCCAGCCAAGATGACCCAAACCTGGCCAGACTGGACCTATAGCCTCATGAGCTATAATCAATGCTTATTGCATAAGCCCTGAGCTTTGGGGTGGTTTGTTACACACCAACTGCTAACCAATACACCTGGGGATCTTATCTACCTCTCCCAATAACTCTGGGATCTTCAGAGAAATTAAACAATGGCTTTTCCTAAACATCCTACATTTATACCATCTTTAAGTGACAGAAAAGATTTGAACTCAAATCTGTATGAAAAGAAAATGCTATTTTCTCAATTGCATAGGACTTTCGAAGGCTTCACCTGGCTTCTCCACTCTGCCATTTTTAAATTGCCAAAAATCAAGGAACACAAAGTACATAAGTTCTCACGAGAATATATATTCACTTATATGAAGTATATACACAACAGTGTATGATTTCACTTATATGAAGTTCTAGAAGCTCTAGAAGAGGCAAGGCCAGTTAACAGTGGAAAAAAAGTAGACCACTAGTTGCCTGGAAACAGGGAAGTGGTTGGACTGCCTAGAGGCATGAGGGTGGGGGCGATGGCAGTGTTACCTATTGCGATCAGAGTGGTAGTCACCTAGGCACGCATATTTGTCAAAGTCATCTCTACTCTTTAAATGAGTGCATTTTTATTCTGTAAAAATTATACCTTCATGAAGTTGACTTTCAAAAGTTGGAAAAAAAATAAAAGCTTAAGAACTCTATACCATCTTTTTAAAGTTAGGGAGAAAAAACATTCAAAATGTTGGCAGTCTCCCAGTCTCCCAGGGCTTATTCCTCTGCCAGAGCGGTCTTGAGGGGAGGTCCTGGGTAGAGTCCTCCTCCCCACCGCCATTTCTGCGGCCAGGTGGTCCCACCAAAGGCAGCTCAGTGACTCTCCTGGCTGGCCTGGGTCAGACCAGCCTCGCAGACCCAGTAGTAGGGCCTCTGGCAGACGTCGTCATTCCACTTGCCGTCTGGGTGGAAGTGGGCACAGTCCTCGCCTCCGCCCAGCCCGTGCCCCTGCCAGTCGTCTGGCTGGCCTGGCTTCCAGTTCCTGAGAGGAGAAGACAACAGCAAGCTAGGAAGGGTAGATGGAGTGGAATTCAGTTTAGGGGAGGAGAGGCTGGCAGTCAAATCCCTGGGGGGCAGCGCTGATGGAGGACATTGGCACAGAAAGCCAGAGTGCACTCACTGGAAGCCGGTCTCATAGTCTGTTCCATCCACCCACTTCCAGGCTCCTTCACGGTCACTGAGGCCCATCCAGGTGTATGCGAAGCTTAGATGTTCCTGGACAAAATTCTGGGTTGACAGAAGGGCAGTGGTGACTTCTCCCCATCCCAGCCAACTCCTTAAAGCAGATTCTCAACTTTAGCTCTTCGTTAAATCAGCTGAGGAGTTTGGGGATGTTTCTCTGGATGCTCAGGCCTGTTAAATCACTGAGGGTGTGGCACAGATGACAGTCATTCTGGAAGCTCCCAGATGATTCCAATGTGCGGCCAAGATTAAGAACTATTTCCCTAAATGGGACTTGTCTTAGGAACTGAGTACCAGAAGCCCTCACCTGCTCCTCCCTGGAGTTGATGACCACCAGGTGGGCGTTCTCCAGCTGGCAGTGCTTCTCAGCCTCGGCCCAGGGCATCGCAGAGCGAGAGAACCAGTAGCAGCTGTCTTGGTGCTCCACCCAGTTGACGGGGCAGCAGGTCCTTTCAGTAGAGGCTGAGTGGGAAGAAATAGAGTGGAGAGGTTGAGGCTCTGCCCACTGGGCCGTGGGCAGAAAAGCAGGGCTGGGTACTCCCCACACCTTCCTCACCATTGTTCTTGAGAGTAGCCACCTGGCAGGTCAGTATATTCAGGTCTTGCATCAGCCGCTGGACTCGCAGGAGCATTTCAGAATGAACTGGGACACACACAGATGGGCAGTGGGGACAGTGGCCTAGGTGTGCTTCTGCTTAGTGTGTTCCTGGAGCTCAGATGTCCCTGCACAGGGCCAAGCCCAGGAACTTTCCTTCCTGTCCCCACCCACCCCCTATATCATGGCCAGATACAGCCATCAGATACAAATCCGCTTTGGATTCCTCCACTCCTGTTTCTCCAGCCTGCTCTCCAGAGAAAGCATGCCACTTTTTTTTTTTTTTTTTTTTTTTTTGAGATGGAGTTTCACTCTTGTTGCCCAGCCTGGAGGGCAATGACGCGATCTCGGCTCACCACAACCTCCATCTCCCAGTTTCAAGCAATTCTCCTGCCTCAGCCTCCCGAGTAGCTGGGATTACAGGTGCCCACCACCACACCTAGCTATTTTTTTGTATTTTTTTTTTTAGTGCAGATGGGGTTACACCATGTTGATCAGGCTGGTCTCGAACTCCTGACCTCGTGATCCGAAAACCTCGGCCTCCCAAAGTGCTGGGATTACAGGCGTGAGCCACCACACCTGGCCTGCATGCTGCCTTTCAAGCTGCTGGTGAAGAGGAGGGCAGGTCAGCACCAGGAGCCTGTTCCCACCCCAACCTGAGTCTGAGAGCCTAGCCTCCCAGACCCATACTTGGAGGGTCTCTCACCTGCCTGCTGTTCCTGCTTGATAACCTCCACCTCAGCTTTCAGAGACGCTATCATTTCTTCCACGCTGCTGCCTGGAGGGCATGGAGACTTCACTTAGGGGTCAACTTCCTCCTCCCTGGCCTGGCCCCAGCCCAGAGCCCCATCCAAGCCAGGCTCACCCTGGGAAGTCAGTGCCTGGATCTCAGCCATAGTGTTTGAGGTGAAGTTGCTAAAATCTGTTCTCAGGGTCACCAGGTCCCTCTGAAATTTGGAATCTAAACAGGTGGATGGGAAGGTCAGAGCTGGGATTCATCAGGTCCTCTGTGCCAGCGCCGCCCCAGACCCTCCATAAGCATTGCCTCATTAGGTCCTCACAGCAACCCAGTGGGGCAGGCACTATTATTGTCCAATATTGCCGATGAGGAAACTAAGACTCAGAGGGGTGAAGTAATTTGAGTACATAACCCAACTAATCAGTGACAGAGCCAGCAGCCATCCTATTTATGGGTCCATCAATTCTATCAGTACCCTCACCACTGTTCCCATCAATCACTCCATCAGTGCCCCCACCACTGTTCCCATCAATCACTCCATCAGTGCCCCCACCACTGTTCCCATCAATCACTCCATCAGTGCCTCCACCACCATTCCCATCAATCACTCCATCAGTGCCCGCAATCACTCCATCAGTGCCCCCACCATTCCCATCAATCACTCCATCAGTGCCCCCCACCATTCCCATCAGTCACTCCATCAGTGCCCCCCAACCATTCCCATCAATCACTCCATCAG